AAACCGCCTTAAGGGGGCCCGGGGGGATCCGTGCGCGATGCAGTGACGTCATTCCCTTCCAGAGTATTTGCTGGGATTGTCCAGGAAGAGGATTGGCAAAAAGCCTTTTTTAATTTTTTTTATTTTTTTATTTTTTTGAGAAACTCTTGGAACTCTACGATTCGCAAATACCGTCTTTTGAAATCTGCTTCTCCGTCAGCGCCGATGTCGGCTGACGCCCGCGCCCTCCGAGGGGCAAAGCGCGGGCGCCCCGGCCCTGGGTGCCATGGCTGTGCCGCACGCGTGGCGTGATGCCGCCACACACCCCCAGACCGAAGGTGCTCGAAACAAAACCAAACCACCAATTAATTCATATCCTATCCAAACTACTGGCCTGAAAGTTGTATCGTCACGGTGTGCTCCACTCACACTGGCAAGACTGACAAGCGAAATAAATCCTGACATCGGCTTGCCTGAAAATGGACTCGCACGTCTTTGTGCACTTGCTTAAAATCAAATTTTTGCAGGCGGAAGTGTGGGGGAGGAGTGCTGAGGCAGGACGGGGAGCTGGTACTCGCTAGCCCATGGGGAGGGAGCTCAAACTTCAGGTGAAATTTTATTCTAAAGTTGTTAGATTTAGACTTTAACACATTCTGAATTTGTTAAACTGCTTAAAAATGCTGCTCAGGTAGGTGGTGACTCCACAGCTGAGGTGTGTCACCTCCCGTGCCCACTTCTGCATTTTGGGCCATGGCCACTGGTGTCAACCCCTATGGCTGCTCTATGTGGGAGAGGGGCAGCGCCCGGCAGAAGTCTGGGCCCCACCTGCCCAGGAGCGTGGTGCCCATCGGCGTGGATGGGCCCGAGCACCTGCCCCCCCCCGCCCCCGAGTGGCTGGTGCTGTGGGAATAATAAACACCCTGACACCCGCTCCTCCGGGAGCTGGCCCTGGATCCTGCACATGAGCAGACTGAGAGGGGCGTGGGCTTCGTTTCTTACTGCCTTTGCATTTACTGTTGCATATATCTCTATCAGATATATACATATATACACACATAGCTATAAATAAGCATTTTTTGATTGCATAAGGTAATTAAATGCTATATTACAAGCCCGAGAGGTTTAACCAAGGAACGTCTTTACATTCAAAGCGCTTATCAGCAACAGCAAACCACTCTCCTGAACATGACACACTAAGTTTTAGCTGGATTTTTGGAAGATTAGTGGTGTTCTAGAGCATTTGTGATTTCCCTTTTCAGGTGTTCCCACACGAGCTAAAAACAGGGCTCCTACGGCAACGTTTCCGAGGCCTTACCCTGCCCGCGGCTGCCTTCGCTGCCCCATGGCGCTCTGCCCCCCCGCTCAGCTCTCGGCCGTCACTCACACCAGCCTGGTCCTGCCCAGGGGCCCGCGCTGAGATGCCGGCCAGGCCTGGCCATGGCTGGCTGGCACACCTGTGCCCCCGCTGGAGCTGGGGCAGTGCCAGGACAGTGGCTGCAGGCACGTTAAAATACCTTGGAAACCATCGGAACAGCTGAAGATGACAAGCAATTGCTATTGCCAACAACTGGCCTCTGCCTACCGTCAATTATCATACAAACTGGAAGCTGTGAGCAGGAAAATGGGTAAATTATTACGACTGGGTAGGCCTGCAGGCTTCCTGCGGTCCGGGCTTAACGTTTTCCTCAAAAATAAGAAAATAATTTTGGGAGCAGCGTTTTTTCCTTTTTTTTTTTTTTTTTTTTTCCTTTTTTCATTCTTTTTTCCCCTTAAAAGTGCTGCCTTATAACAAGGCTGGAGAAAAGCAAACAAGTTCCTGCCAGTCTGGCCCCTGGGTTTTCGGCATGCCGTGTGCTGGGTAGAGGCAGCCCCGCAGCTGTGATGGGATTCAAGGGGGAGCACAGGAACAGAAGATCTGGCACCAAGCACTGAGCTCCTTAAAACTTCTTGCAAAATGAGGATAAGGGAATCACTTTCAGGCTTCTTGTTTTAATCTAGCCCTTCTCTGAGGAGCGTTAGCTAAAGAGTTTATTGCATGGAAAGATCTAAAAAAGCGGAACCGTGTCCCCAGCTGACAGCCCTACGGCCGTGGGTATGCGCCGCGGCAAAGCCTGGCTGCAGGGTGGACGCCCTGGCGGGTTCCTGCCGGAGCCCCTTTCGGTCAGTGTGAAAGCCTCCCCCAGGGGCTTCGGAAAGATCAAGAGCGCGAGCGCGTGGGTCGTCGGGGTGGGAGCACCCGCGGCGCAGGGGCTGCGGAGGGAAACCCCCGCGCCTGGGCTTGCGCCTGCCTGCACCAGCATCCGTGAAGCGAACCCACACCTGGAATTCGCCTCAGGGCGAACTGCCACCTGCCTCCAGCACTTACTGTAGCATCGTAATTAGTAAAAAAAAAACCCCCAGTCCAAGCACACCCATAACCTGGCAGCCTACCTGCACCCGGGTGGGCCATGACCCTCTGCGAGGCCACGGGGGCCCTTCCAGGACAGACAGAAGGTGCAGGTGATTTTAAAGGACGACTGTAGGAATCCTAAGTAGTCCCACTAAAGTAATTTGAATTGCTCATAATACTAGTGCTAGTGAAACATCATTTCAGCCAATTTGAATAAAAATAATGCCAAAAAAAATATTTGGTCTTTTTTCAGGCAGCAGGGGTTGGTGTTAAAGCCTCACTACCGCCTGTCCCAGCTCCTTTCTGGAGTCAGGGGAGTTCTGGCTACGTTAAGGACTTAGACGT